ACGGAGAACACAGTAGAATGAATTCCTTTCTCAAGGGAAGTATAGGAGTTATTAGAGGCAAGTGCTTTCAACATGCTGTGCGTGCATTTTTCAAGCTTCGCCGCGAGCACAATAAAACTCCATATGGTGAAGACATCTGAGACCGTTAACTTGCTGCCCCGGTGTTCAGTATGTTTACTCAGTCTGGTAGTTCATAAAAAATTGCTGTTGATCCGCAGTCGATTTTTCTGCTGGCTGTGCTTTCGTAAGTGAATATTTGTCTTCTCCTGAACTTAGCATATCCTTTAAGGCACTTTAGCGCAAAGCATACTTTTCGCATTTTCTGTTATTATACTTGTGCCATACCCTTTTAAACCTCGCCTCTGTCGCCAATCCCAAATTCGGATAAGAAGGAAGGAGGGTGTGGAATTTTTTGTAAAGCTTAGCCATATGCCTCATGATATTGCCTTTATCGAACGTTACGCTGGCTCCGTTGTCGTCTTGATTACTAAGGGTCGTGCAGACTGTTAGAGAACTGAGGCAGACGACTAAAAATCATCAGTCTGAAATTGCTTCACGCCTTATGGCACCTGAGGTGTAGTGATACGTTGACAGCTGCCGAATATAGGCAAAACGACGATAGAAGTATCAGTCAGCAACGGAGCCGCTACCCTTTCTGAACGGTTGAGGTACACAACTCGATGCCATTTTAGAGCTTCAGATACTTCCAAATATGCTCCACGGGGAGGAGCCACGCTCAGGCCCGACTTTGTGTACTGCTAGAACCCACCTTGGCCGACAGAGCCACTTAACGGAAATCTGTCAGCGGGAAAGCGACACTCCTCCTAGCCAGGTTACACCATGCTAAGGGTTCGACCTTGTTGTAGGCCTACGCGCCCAGTTCAGAGGGAGAATAAGACATCTTCTTGGACAAACCAGAAGGAACTCTTTAGGAAGTGCTGGCTATCCGATATCGTCATTCTAATGGGCGATTTCAATACGTATGTCGGAGCAGGTACTGAAAATTAGAACAGCATGATTGGAAAGAACGGCCCCAATGACCTCAATAATAACGGCTTGAAGATGTTGCGGTTTTGAGCAAACGACGGACTGTCTGTTATGAACACCATTTTGGAGCGTCGAGAAGGGCACCAATATACCTACCTGGTATGGGGAAACAGCAGAAAAGTAGACAAGCGATTTCGTAATCATATTGTCTAACTTCACCGAGGTAGAAGTTGAAGTTAAGAAGTTAATAATGTGTGTACGCTTTAGGACTAGAATCAACTGATCATTATGTGTTGTTTGCACCCTCCGCTGCAAATGACAGAGTTATTATGTGAAGATCTAGCGGCAGAAGCAACCATAGAATCAAAAGGCGAAGCAATATTTTCTGGGGATACGAGTGCGAAACTTGCTAACAAACAAACAAACACCTCTTGACCTTTTGAACAGATCTTATTAATGACTGCTGACGTGGTAGGTATTTAATAGCGGC